CTCTCTCTCTCTCTCTCTCTCTCTCTCTCTCTTGTTGAATCTTCTCTTTTACCTAGATTTTTTGTTTATCATCAATAACATAATCTTTTAAGGTATAAAATGACAAGGGTAGAACCAGCCCCAGAGTCTCCAAAACATTTTGAACAACTTGACATTGAGACTTCTGTCGCTAAGGATGATCAAGATATGGTTAGTTTTACTATTCTTCTATTAATTATACTAACTATAAATGAAAGCAAAAGTATGGAAAAAACGATTTCTAATCACTTCTAATTGCTTCTCTTGTTTCTCATTCATCATTACCGTTTTTCATCATCTGATCTTCCGCTTTATGACCGAAACTACTTATTATGTGTAAAACGAAGGAGAAAACAGATTAATGTTGATCCAATTTAAGCAAGAGTCACAGCGAGAGAGGGGGGGGGAGGGGGTCAGCAATGTAAAACTTTCAGTGTTCTCTTTCATCTCCTTATTAGAGAGTCACGTCATTTAACCCTCAAAATCAATTCATTTGTTTCTTTCTATTCTATCGTTTCAGGAAAAAGCCGTCAAACAGCTATCAGCCAATTTCAAAGCAGCAGAAAAGCCAGATGAGGTATGATTCCTTTTCTCTGTCGTTTTAGTTTAACAGCAAAGAAAATGATACATTTCATCTTTTATCTGTGGGGGGCTATAAGATCTACACAAGGGTGCCTGCACCCGTGATCGAAAGGAAAAGACTGACTAATGGTTCTCAAGCTGTGAATTATTACAAACATAGACTTCCGTACTTGACGGGAAACATCATCTACCCAAGAAATTTTTCTTTTAACTCTCAAATCATCAAAAAAATCGGCTAAATATAACATGACCTGTCCACTTGCTTGACGATACTTCTGTCCGACAGCTCGACCATCATCCATCCCATTGACTGACATCGCTTTTCAGCATATTTGAAAGAGAGAGAGAAAAAAATGTTCATCGTCATTGTCAAAAAGATTCTGATGTGAATTGACCACGATCAGTTTCCTAAACATAAAGGAAACAACAACAGCAGCTCAGGTGACTCTATTCCCCTCCAATCTCTTTTGTGGCATCTTTAGTCTGTTTTTCTTTCTTTTTTTGTCCAAATCATTGTGCTACCTCGACTATGCTTTGTTTTTTGCGGACATTCTGCTATAATTGGCTATTACCAAGCAGAAAACTCAAAGAGACGTGGGAATAATCCTGTCAGAACCCCGCATGTGGTTGTTTGCTTCAGAGTCATCCAGAAGTTCCTTACCGCAATGTTTCCAAAGCTCATGTTGTTCATTGATTGTTAAACAGTTCGTCTTATCTTTGACCTTCCTCATTGATAATTCGACTGTCTCTCATGAAACATTCGAATCTCTTCTAACTTACTACGATTTTGTAACAAAAAAAAGAAAGTTTAGAATGTACATATATGGAAGATAGTAACAATTCACCTCATTAGCTTCTTATTAGAGAAAACGAAGGGAAAAAAACAAATTCTGTGCCCGTTAGACAAGTTATTTCCGCTTATCAGAGAACAGAATCTTTCTTGAGTGTCTTGAGAATTTTTCATTTCCATATGGTTGAAGTTAAGACTGTAAGACTGCTTTCTGTAGTTCTTGAGTTGTGTGCTTAGCATATGAGAAGCCATTACTTCGTTTCCTAATTCGTCTTCTCTCATTCAACATATTCATATGATGTTTAATCTCATTGGTTCTATCATTCTATTTCTCACGACTCATAGTTATCTATTGTATCATTTAATAGATTTAATGATGAAATTAGTTTTCAATCATAATGAACCTTTCAACTGCTTTATAACTTGAGCAAAAAAGGAGAGGCAGAGAGAGTAAGAGAGAGTAAGAGAGAGAGAGAAAGGCTTTCTCTTAATCAACGTTATTCAAGACGTTAACAAAAAAATGTTATTGCTTTCATTAATCTCATAAGATAGATGATTAGGATTGTGATTATCATCAGCAGCATGAATAACCAAACTAGTCGTTGGTGAGATGCCATCAACGAATTCCCATTATTTCAATCATCTAATCGATAGTATGCAGATAGTTTCTATTTTTTCGAAATAGTGTAAAGTGGTATAAATGATTAGATGAAATGAGTTGAGATGATCATACGAGAGGACATGAGTACTCAAGAAGGAAGCTTGTTAAAGGCTTTAAGATGATGAGATGGATTACACCCATCTCACATGTTCAGCGCTTCACACCCCCACAACGGTTAAAGAGAGAAAATGATTGAAGAAGGAAAAGAGAAGAACTGTCAGAATGCCAATAAGATATACTTTAATGACAGAAATATTAATGAATCAAATTGAATTAGATAGATGGAAGATGTGAAATGATGAACTTGGCTATTCCATAAAAGCATCCATTCATTCAATTTTATTCATTTTTTGTTTGAACTCTAAGAGATTATGCAACGCTATAGCATCTTGTGCCTTTGACCGTTACTGCTACACCTGTTTCATTATTATTTTTCCCAAAAACGTACTTTCTTCTAATCTATACTCCTACAATGACATCATTTGCATATTGATTATGCAATACAAAAAATACAAGCTCACGTGTTACTCACGTGAAAAGCTTTACGCTCATTTTGAAAAATAAGTAGTTAGTGAGCGGTTGCATTCTCATATCATCCATCCATTTGTGTTGTCAGCATAGTAATTATCTTCTGTTCATCACATTTTTTGTTTGTTCTGAAATAATCTGAATTACATATTCATAACACAATTCAATTGTCATCATCTGATTCTAAGCATGTCTCTACTGTTCTCATTGTACCTATGCATTGAGTGTAATCAAAATGAACTCGTCTTTCTCCTCCCTCTCTCTAATCGGCTTGTGTACTTACACAATCTTCTATTATATCTCAGACTTATCTTTCAACAGGTCTTTTTTTGCGACATTTTACTCGTTCTGCACCTTGGACTCTTACTTCTCTACTTATTTTCATTCAGAAGTTTTCAATTTCACTTTTTGAGCTGCATGGAATGAACTCGACCGCTGTCTAATCCATTCAATACTTATAATCAGAAAAAAAAAGTTCATATTCTGTGCGTTACCTCCAAAACCTTCACTGTTCGAATCTACCTCAATTAACCAGCATGGAAGCTCCACTCGAAGCTCAAACCCTTGTGCCAGCTAATACTCGATCATCAATCTCATCAACGGTACAGTTTCATTATCCTAGAAAACGTGTGCATAATACTCAATTGTCATCATAATACTTACATTATCACTAAGTTATTTCCATTTTCAAACAGACCATAGCATGAGAGACAGAAATAGAGCGAAATACTTTGAATTCTGTAGATGAATTCCGATCATTTTGTCTGATTGATCAAAAACTCGTCGCTATGGTCGATCGACATGTCGGAAGTTTTGATGATTTCTTAGAATAAGTATCGAAGCTAAAAATATTTCGATGATCACCTGATAAAGGTCAAATGATCAGTTACGAGCTTATTAAACATCAAAAATTGACTTGTAGAGTAGAATTGATCGAAGACCGTCGAGAAACTCCCAAAACACTGTTAGACATCAGAGATGTCTGAGCCGTTTTGAAGAGACTGCTATTCATCATCTATATGAATGGATTGAATACAAGCCTAACCTATAAGGTTTTACCCCTATCTCCATTTCAAGTTCATATTGAAGGAAATAAGGTCAAAATCCTAGATGATTCCACAAAATTGTTATCAAACCATCCGTATAATCAGTTGATCATGTTAAGCACTATCAATGTGATCATGAAGAACAAAATATAATTAATTCCCATATATGTATAGATTATTAATAATATCATTATACTTGGGATGATCTAAGAGAAATCTGAGAAAGAGACTTCTCAAAAACGTTTTTGCTTCCTTCCCAACATCCCAACTGTAGCCTTAATTCTTAGGCAGTCCGAAAATTTAATGATTATATCCATAACATAGATGGAAAACAAGTTGGTTAAGTTCATTTATAATTGGCCAATTCATCGGATTCATTGTCTTCTTAGTGTGTCTTCGTCTTACTCCCAGTATCTAACGTCTTGATTACAAAAAAAAAACATCACCAACTCTACCAGTAATCTTACAATCACTTGCAACATGAGCTTCACTCCTCAAAGCGAATCTCGTAAATCGGAAATATTTACTTCTCCCAGTTTTAGCGACGCTCTTCAAATGAACGAGCCTACACTCATCTCAACGGTATGCATCTTCCTCCATTATATAGTAACCAACAGTTTGACATCGGAAAAACATTGTATCGCAACTTTCGGGTCTTTACTAAACTTTGCCCATATTTTCATTATTTTGACCCAGTAACAAAACACACTTCCAACCTGACGCCCTTATCACTATTATCATCATTTTCGTTTCAAAGAAGATTTCACAGAAGGGGCCTGATAGGCTTGACCACTGTGTACGCTGTTTACACGCGTTTTTATTTTTCTCGTAGTAAATTATTGACAAACCACGTCACCATATACTCTTATATGTGATATTATAAGAGTTTTTTTATTAAAACCTTTAATAGCTTTTGAAAATTGTAAAATTTGCTTTTTGGATACATCCTGGTTCTCTCTTTGCCATAGTTCTCTCAAATGCTCCCTTCTTTTCATATTTTAGAATTTGAGTCCCAGCATTTTGATTCGTCTCTTGAGAGTTTCATGTTGAAAAAAAGAAAACAAAAACGTTCACCTTATTCCTTTAGAAAATTGTCCTCGGGTTATTTAACAAGAACATGGAATGAGTTATCAAACTCATGTAGACATTGATGATTTTGATTTGGATGCCGCCCTTGTAGGTTAGTAAATTTACACGAATGGAGGCGCAATGGAAAAAAAAACTTTTTTGTACCCAAAAGAAGATTGAAATGATTGAAACTCTTTTTGTGTTGCCTTTTGAATATCTAAATCTTATTGGATTATCTTCTCACAAGGCATTTGTGACTTCATATAATTGTTATAAGACTTGAATGAGCCGCTTATATATTGTAGCAATGACAACCAGAAATCGACAACGCAGAAAATTCAAAACATCTGAAGATGTGATGGCGAGAGAGCCTGATTTCGATATGCAGAGTATTGGAGGGCCTCATGTTCCTATGTCGTATTATCCTTATGACAAGGACAGTGACGAAGAATATCTAGTAGAACCATCAGTCAGTTTTTTCCGTAGTGCATCTTTCCAACAAGGCTTACGGGGCTTAAATGGGATATATGAACGATCCAATCCTTACGTTTATTTAATTTTCGTTTTCAGAATGTTGATCCGAATGCAAGTTGGTTCAAAAGGACCCGAGAATCACTTAGAGGAGATATATCTTCTATTCTCCTACTTCTTTTCCTCTACCTCTTGCAGGTGAGAAAAACTCATCTTGACCATAACCTTGATTTCTCGTTCAGGGTGTTCCACTTGGTTTAATTAGTGCTATTCCTCTTTTATTACAAGGCAAAAATGTTTCATATACTCAACAAGCTATATTTTCTTTTGCTTATTGGCCCTTTAGGTATTGTTCATCTTCAATTCATCTTTCCAATATTTCCTTTAAAGTTTGAAATTACTATGGGCGCCCATCGTCGACTCTGTTTTCTGGAAAAAAATCGGAAGGAGAAAGTCGTGGATGGTTCCTTGTCAATATTTGATTGGTGTTTTTATGCTCTTGATGTCATATAAGGTTCCCTACATCATGGGAGAGGAACAAGGAGGTAAATAAGCTGATTATCAAAAATTGGAGATAATTTTGTTTTTCAGTAACCGCACCCAATGCCTTACTTCTTATGTTCATTTTCTTACCTCTTAACTTTTTGGCCGCGACCCAGGATATCGCTGTTGATGGATGGGCTCTGACAATTCTTTCCAGGTACAGTTAAATCTCCATCTTCTCTGTGAACCTTTAACTTTGAAGAAAAAACGTCGGATATGCTTCTACATGTAATGCTGTCGGTCAAACAGCAGGATATTTCTTGGGAAATGTAGTTTTTCTGGCTCTCGAGTCGGCAGATTTTGCTAACACTTTCATCCGATCCTCGGACAATCAGCAAGACTATGGAATTGTGGATCTAGCAAGTGAGTGGGAAACTTTGCAACATTCTATTTTCTTTGGCAACATTCATCAATTTTTTTTGAAATCATTTATAATATTGAAATTTAAGAGTTCTCTCTTTCATAGCCCTTTGTCAAGAGACTACTTCATCTCTCAGTTTTTTGTGAGCGTTAGCATTGATAAATTACAACATGGCGGCTCCTCTAAACCCATAGACTCTTAAAGCTAGTTGTTTTCATATTGTTTAATTTAAAACTTTATAATAAGTTTTACTTGAACAGAGAACAATTACTTTGAAAACTTGACGAGATCAATTGGAAGATAACTATTTAATTAATGTCCAGTTTAACAGGTCCGGCCTAGCCAATAGTACGTATCAAATAGCTGCATCTCACAACTAAATATGATTTTGGAGTTGTTTTTTACTCTCAGGTTCTCTAACCTTGTGTTACGGTATTGGTCATACACAGCACTCATTCCATAACCTCCTCGATCGCTTATTATTACGGCACTCCACCAGTTTCCGAATCTCTCCTCTGCTTGTTTCTTCATGTATCTTGAAAACAGTCTTGTATCAAGTAGCGACGAGAAACAAACTTGGCTTGATAACTGTACTGATGTGGATATAACCCTACCGTCTCTAGAATCAATTCCCGCAGTTTCTCTGACTTGCAATTTTCATCTAAAATGACGAATAATGTTGCGGTTCCAGAGAGAATAGAACTTACGCGGAATTACCTTAGGGATCATACTGAGCAAGATGAGTATAACGATTGAGTTCATAGCTGCATTTCTCGAATCCTTGAAGCTCATCAAGAGGATTCCTATAAAGGATGCAAGATGAAACATTCAAAGTGAAATAGTAATCATTAAAAGAATTATTCAAGAACTGAGAATATGAGCTGTTGTTTGAAAGATGAATTTCCTGCTGTGCTTCTGTGGTAGTGAGTAGTTGTTAACACGGCTGTTTGAGGGGATCCATGCGAAGGCGGATCCCCCAAGGGACTCATTGCTTGTGCCTCATAATTCTATTCAAACTTCTCTGTCTTTATGCTTTTGGATGAGAAAAGTTCAGTGATTGTAGCTGAGTTGACGTCTATTGCTCGCATAATTAAATGTTAAAAAGTGGATTTCTTCATATTCACATCCAGTGCTTTACAACAAAATGACATAGCGAAACAGATTGTATTTCATTTCTCAACAAGATGTACAACACAGGAAAAAAGCTATAGAAGAGAAAAATGAAGATTATACATATGTGTGTATGTATGTCGATGTGCATGAGGATTTATTGAAACTGAAATTGACCTTAACTGGACATATGGACCATCCAATGTAGATCTGATTAGCATTCATATAATTACATTTCCCTCTCTGTATTGTTCATCCTCTTCCACTTGTGAAAATCTATAGGAGCTTTATTTGTTTTCAAAACGAAAGATTATCTTTGCATCCTTTCAGGTTATGTCTTCTTCTGGGGTTTGGTGTTCATCGTCTCCACTACCTTGGTTCTCATTTTCAAGAAAGAAGTTGACAACTCTGTCTCTGAATCCGAGTGAGTTTTATCAAATACGTTTAATTAATCTTGTTTATATGACTGAGTTTCTCAATACGAAAATCTAATACTCTCTCTTTATTTTATGGTTTGGGCTTTGATTAGCTCTTTCACCAAATTACCATTAACCCAAATTGCTTAGTATCTCTATCTGAACCATCATTCTGATGACACCAACGTTTATGTACTTTCAGGATCATAAAACATAACTCTTTTTTTACTTTTTTTTCCATTTCAGAAAAGCCATTGATGAAGATGGAGAACTCCATCTCGGCATTGGAGAAACTTACTTGGTTTTATTGAAGATTCTCCTGCTGAAGCCGATGATGACTATGGTCTTCATTCTGCTCACAGGAAAGGTATGAACAGAATCAGCTGTTCCTCGGTTAGAGTTATCATATTTTCAGATAGCATTTGCTGCCACTGATGGTATAACAAGTCTTAAACTCATCGGAATGGGTATTCCTAAGGATAGATTGGCTAGTTTCGGACTGTTCTTGACTCCCATGCAGGTTTGTTCATGGTATAGTTCATCTTAGTTAACGTGCGTACTACAGATTCTTCTACCTTGGTTGATAGGTAAATGGACATCAGGTCCGAGACCATTGAATATCTTCCTTTGGGCGTATCCTTATCGGTAAGCATTTGGAAGTCATAATAGTTTTATCAAAACGTTCTGCAGACTGTTTGTTGGTGTTATCTATGCCGCACTCGTTTGGGTTACCCCAAGTTTTAAAGCTGATGATGGAAAGTTCAGTTACATGGTGTACATAGTCTGGATTCTAGCTTATATCTTCCATCAAGTACATTGCCATCATATTCCTTCAGTAATTAATTTTTGTGTTCAGGTGGCTACGTATTCTATGTTTGTATCAATGATGGCTTTCAACGCTCAAGTTTCGGATCCAAGAATAGGTGGAACATACATGACACTACTGAATACTCTGAATAACTTGGGTGGAAATTGGCCTGTTACATTAATTCTTTATGTAACTGATTGGTTCAATTTCAAACAATGTGTTGTTAAAGGAGCAACCAAAGCAGCATCTCAGTATGTTTTCTAAGTTTCGAACGAGTGCCAATGCTTCCTTCAGAGTTTTATATTCATGTAATACTGCGGCACTTGCTGAACAGTGTGCCGCTGGAGGCGATGTTTGTGAAACTTCTATCGATGGGTACTATGTAGCAGTTGGGTTATGTACTGTTCTGGGTATTATCTGGTAAGGTTGATTCTGATAGACATAATCTCAAACAACTTTTGTAGGTGTAATATATTCTTCCGTAAAATCAAACATATCCAAAGAATACCTAGACGTGATTGGCGTGTCATAGGAAAGAAATAAATTTGTATTTATTCTCCATTCCCTTCTCAATTTCACTAGTCCGTCTCCTGCTATCCCTGTGATTAAACTTCACCTACTTTGGTCGCAAACATATCTATTCTCCACTAAATATTGGTCATATCTGCCACATTCGGAATTCAGTTGGGACGTTTTAGCTCGGATAAATTGCAATTGTGATTTCATGCTCTTTCGGTTGTTGTACTTAGCGGTTTAATTTCCTCATTCCTGTTAATTATTTTTATTTTAAATCCAAAAACATTCGCAACAGCTAACTATAGTCTACGTTTACGCATCTTTACTTATCTCAGTTTTTCCATTTTTTCCTTAAATGCCCTATATTAGAGTTATCTATCTTAAATTGTATGTGAGATCAATTACGTCGTCTCCTCAAACGGAAACCGTGAAAATTGTAATAATGTATTAATATTGGCATAAAAATCCTAGCGTTTTTCTATTGGGCAGGCATCCAAGTATTCTATTGGTACAATAGCAACTGCTGGACATTCCACGTTGAAAGGTCTGATTCCTTCCGGTTCCTGAACACTAAAGCTCAGTTATGTAAAAGATAGTCATCATACTGTTGGGTCGAAAGTCCAAACTCCAACCAATTTGTTACAAATGTACGGACTGACAAGTGACACGCCGTCCGTCGTCGTTTTATTTTCACATATTCCCACCATCACGAAATCATCCTAAATGATACTTTTGTTCTTTCTTTTTATATTAACCGATTTGGAAGTGTTCTTTTGCTTTTCGCTCCCATAATGCAAGTAATTGAATCTGTTACCTTCAAGTGGACACGTACAATCTTGAACTGGTTCCTCTCAATACACTCGGTTCGGCATTCTATAAGGAAACCTATTATGATGCCTTTCACTTGATTGAAATCTGGTCTAAGCAAAAAGTTCTGAGTAATAATATTTTCGTTTGAGATTATGCAAATATACTTAAAATTCACGTGTACTTTCGAAAGTTTTCGAAATTAGAATATCTACTTCACGTCAAGCGGCGTGGAAATTGCGTGGAATGTTCACTCTAGATTGCAGACGTGTAAAGAACGGTTGTTACCTTTTACTATTACATAGAAGGTTATAAGAGTGTTATGCTGCAGCTTTCTATTTGAAAACCAAAAATCTCACCTCCAACAGCCCCACCATCGGCAGAATTACATGCTAATAACAACGTTATAATAAGGAATCCAAGCATCGTCAATTGAGAATAACTGCAACAAACGATATATAATAAGATGATGAGAGAAAGAGAATAAAACTGTTTTTGATACTAAAAAGGAGTATTAAGAGACAAGGAAGAGATGAGACTACAAGAAGATGTGTGACCGATATATTTCTAAGTACTATAGAAACATTGGAAAGTTTCAAATAAAAAAGAACTGAGAAGGTTGCTGATGTTGATGGACGAGTTCCATTCAATCTCTCAAAATTAATGATTGTTAATGTAATTTCAAAGAGGGAGGAAAACATATTGTGTTGTGAGCGATTCATATGAAGACGTAGAACATGTGGGAACTAAGGATCATTCCATGATGATCAAACATGTACATGTTTGTTGTCATCAATTGGAAAAGTTTCAAGAGCTGCTTAAGAGGAATCTAACAATTACTACTATCTCTTGATCAAAATGACAGGAGAATTCATGTAAACTTCACTCTTCTCTGCAGCAATCATGATTTCCATTCAAAGTTCTCATCTTGTGAGAATGGCAACAGGCCGTGCTTCAATACTCATGTTGTTTAATTTTTACATTGTGTCAATAGTTGTGGTGTTATTCTCAAAAACGGAAATGCCTCAGCCTTCTAACTTTGGTTCTTTTCTGAATAAACACACAAATTAGAACTTTCATCCGAAATAAACAACCAAATAGAGAATGTGAATAACATTTCTTGATATCATACATTAGGTGAGATGTAGCAAACTCTTCGCAACTACTTCGAAAACATTGTCGCTGTCTTTGAGAAAAGCAACAGCGCCCGCAGCAGTCAATTCTTCTGTTTGTTTGACCTGATCGCGGATCTCTATCTCTTTTAGGGTTGAATAATGACAAGAAAGAGAAAGAAGATAACAAAAATATTCTTTGAATCATCGTATTCGCGGTTCCATGGTGTAGCGGTTAGCACTCAGGACTTTGAATCCTGCGACCCGAGTTCAAATCTCGGTGGAACCTTCGTTTTGCGCATATACTGACAAGAGTTGAAGAACAATTGTAATGTTGATAACAGACTAATTCGATTGTTTTCATTGAGATGTTGTGTGATTATACGGAATGTGTTTCTTGCAAATGCTTTTCATTATTAGGAAAGGCTAAAGAGTAGTTGCGATTTAGTGGAAAGTGCTTCTGAAGTGTTTCTGAGTTTGTGTTGTAAAGTCTTATTTTTTGTTGAAAGTGTAAGTAGAATAATTGTCTTTGGCTTTCAATTATAGTTGCTTTTCTAGTTTTACTTCTTCTAACGAAGCATTTTTGAAGTCATCGTCTTTGTGTGTCCCCGTCTTTGACTCTTGATCGGCTTGTTGAAAGAGTTTCAAAAATAAAATCATTATCTATGACTGGTATATGACCATATTCATATAATGATGAGATCTGTTTTTTATTCACAAAATATATCTATGAAAGGCGGAATAACAGCGAAGTATTTATTAGCCAGATGCCAGAAAATAGAGAAAATGAGAAAAATTTAGTTTCTGATGGAGTAAAACTGATCATAAATTATATTTTGCTATCATGGCTGAAGTTGTCCAGTTCGAATTGTAGAGCTTAGAAGCTGATTTACATGCCGCCTTGGTCAGGACTGAAATTGGTTCGTTAAATGAGCTGAACGATGTCAAAACTATTGTTAAGAGCATTGAACAGAGGTTGATTATCACTAATATCTATGAAGCTCCCTCAATAGGATAGTTAGTTTGAGTTAAAACTTTGATGGGATTATAATGAGATATTCATATGTAAGAGAATCCTTGTTAGTTTCCGACTTTTATGGCCAAGCTACAGAACTATGGCAAAATCGAATTATAGTTGTGAACCTTAATGAACTTTGCTCTTTTTTTTTGTTTTAAACTGAAAAGGCGAAAAAACGAGGATGAACTGGAATAGACATTTCAAGTAATTTCTATTCATCTTTAATTTCTTCTTTTTCAAAGATCACCCACACACACACACATTGAAAGATGAATATGCCACTCACATGTAGCGATCAAACAGATTTCTAAAGAGGATGCCATCTGAGCGGACAGGTCGTTCGAGAAACCGTGTATCGGGATCGCTTCGTTCCCATCTATCCAGAGGAAGCTCCTAAAGAAAGTTAAGTTCAATATAATGAGAAGGCTAATTGACTAACCTGAAGAACAAAAGCGTTAGCTAAACAGCAGAAGAAAACCAGCATGAGAAAGGAGAGTAGCCCATTCATCTGCAATATAAGTCTCTTTAATGAAAATGCGAAAACAGTCTACAAAATATGAATAAAAAGAATAATACAGATAAAAATGAATTAATGAATCGTTGAAGATGCGGCATGGATGAACAGAGATAGAGAGAGGAACGCGAAAACACAACCGTTCATCATTGCAGTAGTTTCAAAAATGAGCAACTGAGTCATAAGCAGCTCACGTATAACTTCACGTAGCAAGGGCATCTCTAGGCAGGAGGTGATTGTTCGAGAGCTGTTCCTCACTCACAATAGTAACTCATATTGTTGTCTCTTAAGCTAGTAAGCTTCATATGGCTTTAGAAAAGCAGAATCAACTGAAGAACGAGAATGTTCAAGTAAAATTGAAACAGAGTCAATAACACTCGAACTTGAAATATGATAAGTAACATAGCCATATGAAGAGAATCATTGAACTATTGGCTCAGGTTAAGTGAAGGAAGCAATGAGTGAGCCAAATAACTTTCACATATTTTCAAAAATAAGCAAAATAATAAGTTTGATTGGTTCACAAGGCTAAACTTGGGGCGTTTGACTGATTTACTCACTCAGGCGAGGCGATGAGCGTTTAAAACTTTGAAGGAAATGAAGAGAAGGTTTTCCAAATTACATTTCATTGTAATTTTTCTTACAAAATGCAAATTTCACTTAAATTAGTGAGTGTTTTACATTTTGAGTTATAAGAGCGGTTGAATGAATACAAAAATGGCGAACACCAGCAGTCACATTGAGGAAAGAAAGATTTCCTTTGTGTCTCAAGTCAATATTTATGACTTACGAGTGTTTAGCTACAAAAATGATTTATTCTAGGAAGGAGTTTATTAAAATATTTATTCTCTTTCCGTTTTTTTCCATTTGTACCATATATTTATATTAATAATGTCTATCACACAAATGTTTTGCAGACTACTATTGACGAGTTGGCCGCAATAGATGCAAATGGTAACGAAGACAGTTAATGAGTCAAGTAAGATGATTGGCTTTTGTACTTATCGTTCTGTTTTGATAAAGAAGTTGAATAGAAGTTTAGAAAAGACTTGGAGAGAGAGAGATAGAGACAGCTAAGCTGAGGTGAAATCATATTGACGTTGGAGGTGGGAATAATCATATGAGAGGTTCACTCAAGTAAAAATCTTGTCTGTTAAAATTTAAAAATATTTCTCCTAAGATCCTGTCACACTTCCAATCTTTCTCATACATTCAAAGATTGAGTGGAAATACCAAATTAAGATTTGTGTGCACGAGACTTATGACGTAATGACGTATGAAGAGTTATTTCAAAACACAGTGAGCACCTCGATGTCTCGAAATAGAGAACCGATTCTGAGCAAGTTTAAGAGAGTCAGTGATCACTGTGCCCGTATAACTGTTCTACCTCGTTCACTAGAACTCTTCAATTGTGAAGCGAGGTTTGGTTGTTCCAACATCATTCATGTTCTATATGGCTTTTCTGAAAATACGAGAAAACACTACTTCTGGAAACAAAGGTGAGAAGTAATCTAGCATTTGGTGAGCTGTCTTGAAAAATGGGAAAAGGGACTGGAAGGGATCAACGGGGTGTAGCTGATGAAAACATATCCTTTTAAACTGCTTAGTACTAAGAATACTTCTGAACTTGAAAAATGATCTATCAAATGATCTAGTGATACATTGGCTGCTTCATGAAGAAATCTAGAACGAAAGGGATAGATCTGTGGACATGGAGCGCATGGCTCATGGAAAGAGGATAATGCGTTTCAGTAAGTTGAGGGAGGGAGTTCTGGGAGCCACGGCAAAAAAAGGAAGAAGTGAATATGAAAACTGGGCGGGCGAAGAAGAAATATCTTAACCCCCTGAAAAAAAAGGAAAAAAGCCAAAAGAATATTGTATTCGTGGAAGATATTTTTTAATTAAAGTATATAAAAAGTGTTTGTAAGAAAATGGTGGCCGAGGATACAAACGTGACACGATGGGAATGAAGACGCCCAAGAAATCTAAAAGACGCGAATTTTATTGTGTTTTCAATAATTCTTGTAAAAAATTCATAAATAAACAATTATGTGAATCTGCAGCAAGAAAAAAATTTTATTTCTTAGCTTACAGAAGCCATGAGACCATGATGTATAATGCCTATTGCCATTAGTATGAGACTGAATGGAAAGAGAGCTTTCTGTAGGTTGGCCCACCTGCTGACAATTTATGAAAACATAAATCAGGTGCGTGGTCAATTGAACATCTAACAAACTGATAGACAAACAAAAACATATAAATAGCATAAAAAAGGATCAGTTATGCCTTCAAGTTATTTACATAGAGATAGGTGGTATGTAAATATTCGAAAAAAGCTGAAAAATGATTACTCAGATCATATTTCTGAGGTACGTAAGTAAGACTGAAAAGCCATTGATTATGATGAATTTCTGATATTCTCTTATTCTTTCTTGAACTTGTTTCAATAACCCATCGCTTTGATGAATTCGAATAGCTTCTTGTGGCATTTATGAAAATTAATAAGGCCCTTTTAAGTGAAAGAAGCGGATGTTCTGGCAATTGAACTGGAAAACTTCTTTTGCTCAAAAGTTCTTAGAAACTTAACAAATTACTTTTAGCTTAAAAACTGAAGAACGTCTGACGAATATGCGTAATAACAAGGAAGAAAGATCAAAAAACAAAAATAAGCTATGACATTGTTCCAGAGCTTATATTAGAGTAGCAAATGGGTGAGGTGTGCGTAGTCAACCTCTGTGCCACTCCTTTTTTGCTTCCCCCGTATTTATATTCGACTCTTCCTCTTTAGTTAGAACTCATATCATAGTCCAACCTACTCCCTTTTTTTTCTTTCATAATGAAGAGGACTTCTTGGAAATTCGGAGAGGAAGGCTCACATGAACACGTTGATAGAATATCTTTGAAATGAGACAACTGAACCGAACGACCTCGAGATGGAAGTGAGAATAGGTGGGACATAACAAGCATTACTCAAGAAATGCTTTCAATTATTCAAAAGTAAGTTTACTCGAGTATGACAGTGACATACAACTGTTTGTGTTTCTTCTTCCAAAATATTTTCTGTAGAAATAAGAAGACTTGCTAGAAGCATAGCAACTTTTAGATGGAAAGCTCGAAAATATAAAAACTGAAAACAGGGCAGTCTCCTACTCTGCTCAAAGCCATGCTTAGATGATTTCCACTATAACTCAACTATAAACTTCAGAATGGACACGAGTAAATGACCAATTGATGAATGAGAGTTCAAGTTTGTTTTCGTTTATGTTGACAACTTGACCAGAATATTTCACTTCTTCCTCCTCATAGCTAACCAATCATTGGAAACGATAACATTCAAACTACTTGATCAATCAAACAGCTTATTATATTTTTGCTTAAGCTTCTTCTTTCATATTTCATTCAAAGCGTTTTTGTTTTTCAAATTCTACATATCATCAAAACAGAGTAAGTCAATGTGCGTAATACTCCGAACCAAAGTGTACAAATTATGGAAAAAGCATCCTCATCAAGCCAAAACAACCGTTCCCCACGCATTACGCTCAAGAAATGAAACTTGCAAAATCAATTGAGCAACGTGGGCATTAAAACGCATCATGACTGCTTCATGTTTATGCTTACTCTAATGGCTTATGTGACAATTACGACCATGCATTCATCTCATCTGAAGAATACCTCAATTAATAATAAATACTTTTTTTCTTAATTCAGTTAACCAGAAAAGCAAGTCCCAACGTTTCTTACTCATCCCTCATTCTCTAGACAGCTACTTACTGGATATACGCTGCAAGTACAAGAGACGTGGTGTATAATAAGTTACAAATGTTTCGAAAAAGGCAAATTTGGAAAATAACCAACAGATTGATGAATTCTCGGGCTATGAATGAAAGAAGATTATTTTTCACATCAAATGTTTATAGGCTGTTTCCATACACATCCTTATAACTCTATCTTTGTACGCGACAGGATTGAGGCCCCCTATATAACAGGCTGTTCCACTTGGAGTAAACTAAATAGATAGCGGTCAGATTCATGAATCCGGATGTAACTGTATGAGGGTTACTTTTCTCATCAGATGTTCTGAGAAACTATTGAAACTAATACAACTAATTCCCTTTTTCAGTCTGTTAAAGTCATTGTTCTATTCCGACTTGCTCAAATTGAGCATTAAATGAAAAATTTCATTAGTCAAGTCTCCGATGACATGATATATATATCATATAAACTCTATTTGTGTACGTAGAACTTAGAGCACCTCCAATATAACTTGAATTGAAACTACAGTAATTGCCAATGAAGAAAGATAATTACCGTCTGACAACCTGACGATAACAACGGCTGCATTATGCCCGAGGCTTCATTTCTAAACTTTTTCTCTTTTTTTCACAACTTCTTGATCATATAAATTTTTCTTCTCAAAATTTTTCTAATCGAAAAGCAAAAACCCCGTGCCGGGTGATGTTCCTTTCTGTGACCGAAAATAGGGAAAACCCATACGACATACGACGCACACATTGATATAGGCAATCGATTTGTGTATTAACAAGCCAATGAAGAAGAAATATTACCGTCAGATTTCTCTGAAGAATTCAAGGCTGCTTTTGCCCGAGGCTTATCTCTTATTATAATGAAACAATAGAATATATTTATATGTAATTAATAATCACTAGTTTCCTTCCATAGATCCAAGTTAAGAAGATTCAAAGACTGACAACTGACGAAGTTATTGCTGAAATTGACTTGATTATCATTGAAAATTGTACGATACGATACAAAGTATTAGTAGGTAAAGCGAAGACATCTGGCTGTATGTGAGAGAATCTTGTAGTAGCGCAGATGACATTTGATAATCGATATCTTCTTATCTCGCTCAATTGGGCTGAAGTCGATGAAAAGTACTATGAGCGGTTCTCTTTCAAACCTTGGCTGAAACCTGCTGAGAGGTTTTCGAAATAAAAACGATCACAGCTTTTCAATCGATGGAACTGATCGGCAAGTAAACATGCAGTTGTAGGACCAACCATAGCTCCTGGAAATAACCTTTCCATTCCTTCTATCTTCATGAGTTACCCGAAAGTGGCTTCTCTGAAGTTAATCCGGAGAAGAGGTCGATGTCGTTCACATCATCATATACCGATTTCAATGCTTCAACAGCATCTATTTCCATATCAGAATATAAAGCCTCAAATGAATGGGCTTGCGGAAGACCACAGAACTTTCTATTAAATACAAGATATCAGGATAGTAATTGAACTTTACCTATGCTCATTATAACTTGGGACGTTGTGGTCTCTAGCTCGTTGAATATTGATAGAAATGAGATCGAATCCACTTTTCTCTCTGCCCTTTTGAGCGAATAACATATTTCTGGTGATATACTTAGTGATTATACAAACTATTCGTTCTACCTAACAGCGCTTGAAACATGTCGATCGAAAGCCATGGCCGGATTAGCCAATAACCCAGCTAAGATTGAGTCTACGCTTCCTATACAATAAACTTCAGTGAGCAATAATTGGTTGAAAAAGCCAACCGTTTCTTTCATCATAAACTTTTTCCATGGTATTAAAATTATCTGCCAAATCTAATGGACTTGTGAAATTCTGATAGTCGATATCCAACCTCGGAATAAATCTAATGACGATACTTCGATACAAATCGAGAGCTAATTAACCTTTTAACCAAAGAATGGCCAAACCTGAAGGCTGCAGTGGCAAAGGATTGAGAGATGGAGGCGTCACATTTCTCGTCATAGCCTTTTGGAATAGGAATCAGCCAGGAAGTTTGATGAGCACTTACCATAATAAAAGTCATTGTGTTGGGATAACAAATCGTATTTCATCATATTCATATTCCCAATGATTTTTGGCAGAAATTCCTGGTATACGATGTTCTGAAGCACAGCACTAACTATTTTCCGACTCTCCTAAACAACATGAACTTTGAAGCTCTCGTTACAAGTATACTTGAAAAATTGTTTCATCATTCCAATGATGGTTTCTCTTTCGCAGTCCCGCAGCGAGTTTGTTATGAAAACGTAAGAAGATCACATGAAGAGACTGGAGGAAAGGTTGTTGACTATTTCTATCATCTCCAGCAGAAAAACAAGGAAAACTGGGAGCAGAACGACACTGCTTCTGATCCTGCGCTTCTGGCAGGAGAACTCTGTAGTCATTGATATATTAATACTATTTTTCAATATACAAACCCCAAATGAGAACCTGCCGCAGTTCGGCTGAGTTCTCCATTTTGGAAAGATCGAAGTCCATCTGCTTCACATTTGGTCGAGCCATATATAACGGAACCGTCAATGTACGACGAAATTTGGTTCATTTGGTTGCGCGGTCCAAACGTTCTCTGCCCAGGTAAGCTGCGCACAAACGGCAGACACTTCCCATAGGCGTTAGCAAAAAATGGATCATCTTCCGGTATATGAATAGGATTGCAATAAGAGGAAACTGATTCCTTTGAATCACACCTAAAGCAAAAACGACGTTCATCCTCAGAGCTTCTAGTAATCTTACAGTGAACAGTTCAGATTGCCACCTGAAGGAGATGGCTGGACTGGCGAATGAGTTATCTCATGGTCCAAGAATTGGCCGAATTGCATTAGAATCAGAGAAAACTCAAAAGTTCATAAGCTATATAACAAAGAGGAAATTATGCAAACTAACTTCGTCATTTGGTTTACTGACATCATAATGTATGCGATTAGAAATGGACCGAGGACTGGGCAAAGGTCTCCCACTCACAGAGAGAAACCGGGGAGAGTCAACTAAAATGGATAAGAATATTCATTTCTGAAAGAATTAGATGACGCACATTTCTGGAACTCAGCTGGTAGCACGTGCAGCAATGGTTGGAACGCCATTCCCTGCTCAGGGTTCTTCAAATTATTGCAAAATCCCGAAAAGCTTCTTAAAAGAGAAGGCTGAATGGAAACAATTTCAAAAAAGCACCTGTAAATAGAACTTTTGTCACACCTCTTATCATTCTCTAAACAATTGTTTTCCGGAAACTTAATAAATCTGAAAACTTTGATTTTTTATGAACATGAGTGTTGCGCAAACCGGAGAGCATCGAACTCTTCTAGAGCATTCAAAACTTCATAACCAAATCGGTCAATCAATAAGCTAGTAGCCTGTAACATTCTAGTTTACATGGTGTTATCCGAAGAGCTGACCTTCAATAATACTTTAGATGCTTTAGAGACTTCAACTGCTATACTTTTAGGATACATCAAGGATCCGTAAACACCGACAGGATCATCACCTTTAATATTATAGTTTTTCATCGAAACCGACGTTGATTATGTACTTCTACTTCTAAGATGGAACTGTCCCTCCATCCCATTGTCTGCATCTTGAATAGCTTGTCGAATAGCCTCTTCTGTGAGTCCAGTCTCGAATCTTAAACAGAGAGATTAAGATTCAGATTTTGGCTCACCCTGTATTCCTGAAGTTATTTATTTTGTTTAGAATGGAGTTCTTGATTTTTGCGATCTCATCTTGAAATGCTTGATTCAGTTCATAACTTAGGATGTCTTACCTATCACTGATAGCTGATAACTCGAGCTTACCACTAATAATAGGAGAAGAGGACGGAGAATCATAGTGCAAGGTGAATGAACGAATGATTTTCTTAGACTTTACTTCGTCTAACCTCATTTTCCTAAGGCACATAAAGTATTATGACTTCTCAGATATAACCAACAGGTCTAATATCAAACAAAAACTATCGTTAATATCGAAACGGAAACAGAACAAAGCTGTTCAGGAATACCAGAGTTGCAAGAAAAAAGAAAAACAAGTTTTCTCTTAATTCATGGATGAACGTACTAGTTCTCAAACAAATCAACATTATCTGCTTTAGTTAAAAAGTATATTTCTAATGAAGCGAATGATTTCAGAGACCGCATTCGAATCTTTTTTTTCAAACAGTTTCTTTTTCCCCCACTCATGATAACATGGCCTTTGAGACTCCCTTTGCTTGTTTGGTTTATTCATTAGGTGGATTAGCCTACAAGCCCATTTGAATTCTTGTAGACGGTTCAGTACTATCCAATAAGGTTTCAATATTTCAATAATCAATATAATAATGTTTATTTTCTTACAATATTTCACAAACAATACAATCATCACTAAGAAACAACGATTACAATACAAGCAAAGAGGGAACATGAATACCGAATATGAGAATACGTCTGATTTCGAATTCCAAGTGTCTAGTCTTTCATTCCAGAGCTCCTCAGTCTCTGTGATATCCCTTGGTCAGTATATTACGTACGTCGTGGTTAACTTTTCACGAATCATGAGGGACAAACATATTGTTATTGATTAATCAGTTTAATTATCTCATTGAATAGTCAATGCTGACGTGAAAATACTGACGTGAAAGAGAATAAGCATATCAGTTCACTTTCACTTTACGTGGAAAATCAAGTTCATTTGAAGTATCTGGGACTACACAGCGCGGTTGTTTACGGCACTCATCATTGATTGATGTTAATTCAATTCCAAAGTTAATATTCCAACAACATATTGAAGCTTGAGGACGAAAGAATAGAGGTTCGTATAATTAGTTGATATAGTTACTCTTCTCAAATGCGTATTGACCATAATACCTTGGACATTGGACTTTGATCTATATTATAAGAAGAAACGGGGGGAACGCTCGTTCGCCTTGCGTTTTCATATATCCTTTGAAGTTTCCTATGCTTAAAAATATTTTTATTGTTGTTTCCAGAAGAAATGAACAGTATTAGAATCTGGCAAAGTGCTTGTAAGTTTTCAACAAGTAGCTTAGCCAGGAGCAGCTTCGAGGTTAGTTTCCATTACAACTGTTGTAAATGCTATTGCTATTGTCGTTGTAGGTTAGAAATTTGGGAAACAATGTTGTGCATGTTGAAATGAATCGCCCCGATCGGAGAAATGCATTCACTCTTGATATGTGGAGGTATGCTCTATATACACAATATATGACTTGGACATGTTAATTACTTTGATAGAGAGAGTAAAAAGATATTTGATGAACTCTCACTTGATCCTGAGTGCAGAGCAATTGTTTTATCTGGGAAAGGAAAGTCTTTCTGTTCTGGAATCGACCTACAAATGGGAATGTCGGTAAGGTTAGCCCACTGTTTTTAAGTTTTAGTTCTAATTTGAGGAACTCATTAAAGCCGTCCAAGATGATAGTATAGACGTTGGAAGAAAGGCTCGAATGATTGAACGTATAGTAACCGACGCTCAGGCAGGATTCACAGCTATCGAAAAGTGCTCCAAGCCTGTGATTGCTGCTGTACATTCTCATTGCGTTGGTGCTGGTGTGGATATGATAACAGCTTGCGATATCAGATATGCCTCACAAGATTCTACCTTCTGTGTCAAAGTGATCGGCAGTTTAGAAGTTTGAAGTGTATCTCTATTGTTTTAGGAAGTTGATATCGGAATGGCAGCTGATGTGGGCACGTTGAACAGATTTCCCAAAATAGGAGCAAACGAGAGTTGGGTAAAAGAGGTCTGCTTGACCGCCAGAAACTTTGGAGCGGACGAAGCTCTTCAATATGGTTGTTAATTTTGTTCAGCGACTTCTAATATATTTCGTTTAAGGTCTCATATCAAGAATCTTTGTATCTCCAAAAGAATGTGTGAATGGTGCCTTGGACTTGGCTGCTTCGATTGCCGAAAAAAGCCCTATCGCTGTACAAGGAACAAAGAAGGTAGATATTGTACTTCATTATATCTCAGTTTCAAATGAAATCTAGACTCTTAACTATGCGCGGGACCATACCGTTGATGAATCTTTGGAGATGATTAAGATGTGGAACATGTCTCAACTACTTTCAACTGATTTGTTCGAAGGTGCTATGGCTGCCATGCAGAAGAAGAAACCGAGTTTTAAAAATTTGTGAATACAACTTGTACATAAACCTTCCATCTAACCTAACATATCGTAACAGTCAGGCCGTTTGATCGGATACTTATCTTGCTCGTAATTGAATCTATTTTCATTTTTCAACCGTTTAGGAAGAGTATTCAATCATCAAGGTATCGGAATGTTTAATACTGGGTGAGTTTCTATCTTATTCTTAACCATCCAAAGTAGAGTATAGTCTTGTGTTATCACGTTTGTCACTGTAGTGTGAATTGATTATTTCGATTTTCATTTCAATTCAACACAATGAATGACAAGCCGCCAACAGGTAGAGGGTTCGTGTTTGTTTATATATCATTTCGGTTTTTCAGGTTTTCTTTCATAATAACCTTTTTTTCAGTAAATTTTTCGGAAAGACCGTTCTTATCACTGGTGCATCTCGTGGCATTGGAAAAGAGATCGCTCTCAAGTTGGCTCAAGATGGAGCTAATATTGTTGTAGCAGCCAAAACTGCTACTGCTCATCCTAAACTCCCTGGAACCATCTACAGCGCTGCTGAAGAAATTGAGAAAGTAAGACTCACTTTTTCAACTTTCTGAAGATACATTTGCTGTCAGGCTGGAGGAAAAGCTTTGCCATGCATCGTAGATGTTCGGGATGAAGCTTCAGTAAGTGCAGCAGTTGAAGCTGCTGTTAAGAAGTTTGGTGGAATAGATATTCTCGTTAACAATGCTTCAGCTATCAGGTAGATCACATTATTTAGGTATCTATATGAATATTAACTTTCAGCTTGACCAACACTGAAGAAACTCCAATGAAGCGGTATGATCTTATGCATTCCATCAACACTCGTGGAACTTACTTAATGTAAAGCTTTGCAAACTCATCTTTTCCTGAGTTTTTATATCTTCAGGACCAAGACCTGCTTACCCTATTTGAAGCAAGGAAAGAATCCTCATGTTCTAAATATTTCGCCTCCTCTTTTGATGGAGACGCAATGGTTCCAGAATCATGTAGCCTACACAATGGCCAAATATGGTAGGTGTTTAAACTGCCTATCTTTTATAGATATGTATTAAGGAATGTCAATGTGTGTTCTTGGAATGCATGAGGAATTCAGACCTCATGGAATTGCTGTCAATGCTTTATGGCCTTTGACTGCCATTTGGACTGCTGCCATGGATATGCTCTCTGCTGGTGAAGGTGCCAAGGGGAGTCGCAAGGTAGTTATGAAGCCTATCAAACAACTTTATTGAAAATTTAAGCCTGCTATCATGGCTGATGCAGCTTATGCTGTCCTTTCTCGCAACAGTAGAGATTTCACCGGAAACTTCGCTATCGATGAAGATATCCTTAGAGAAGAAGGATTGAATGATTTTGGGAAATATGCTGTAGACCCCGGTAATATTCTATAGATGTCATTAATATGGTATATGTATGAGTTTAGATTCACCTCTGACCCCAGATTTCTTTATTCCCGGAGGAAAGTACGACTCTGTCTTCCTGAATGCTAATCCCAATCGCAAGAAAAGTAGAGAGAGCATCAACAAGGTAAACTCTTATTCGTGATGAGATTAACTGTGTTTGAATTAAAGACCGTTGTTGAACAAGAAATCAATGCCATCACTCAATCCATTGGTGACGTTATTACTCCAGATATAGTAAGCAAGTTGGGAGCTGTTTATCAATTCAAAATCTCAGGCTTGTACTCTTTACATTTCGGAAGAATAGTCGTTAGTTGCAGGTTCTATCAACAAGGTTATCACCCTCGATCTGAAAAACGGTAATGGTGCAGTCAAGGAAGGAGGCAATGATGCTGCCGATGTGAAGTTCGATTTTCTTCTTATCAAAAGATCTATATTTTTTCCCTAGATTTGAACTCTCTGATGAAGACTTCCCATTGCTATTCACTGGAAAGCTTTCTGCATCTACCGCTTTCATGACCAAACGTCTGAAGATCGGTGGAGATATGTCGAAAGCCCTCAAACTTGAAGGTCTTCTGAAAAAAATGAATAAAAGCAAATTGTAAATGAAACGAATAGTGCAACTTGACTGCCAGTTATATGCAAAGTTGCGGAAAGTTCTGAATAATGTATTTATATTGTAATTATTCCTATCATAAACTTTTTTCCGTCTTGGTTTGAACTCGTTGCTGTGAACTTCTAAAACAACATCTGCTCATTACTATTTTGGATACCTTGGTCTAATCGGAAAGTCAAACAAGAGAAACTGATGTCACGTAGTTGTTCGTTACACGCACGATTTCAGCCACAAGCTTTCTGTTGACGTCTTACTATCTCAGTCGGTTTTGTTTAAGACAGATTTTTTTTCGCGCTTTGAAACATCAAATCAAACAGTCCCGTATGAGTTTCTAACGATAACACATCTAATGCTCATGCTACCTAACGGTTTGTGTAACTTTCCGACAAAAACACATCCAATCAGCGATCTTACCGTCTCGATAAATATCATAACAAACAACAGTATGTCATCACTTTCGTTTCTTTTTATAAATCTTCTTCCTGTTGTATGTATGTATATGAGTAAAGCTGAAATGTCGCGGATATTCTATTCTAACAGTTCTGTTCACATTCGCATTGTTATAACATTGATCTCAAAGTAAATGAACTAGCAAACCGGTTAACATCAATCCTTCTATAATGTGATTCGGAAGAGTCTTGTCAGCTTTCCGAATCCTACGAAACCTCTGTACCATGATAATGAAATGACGTACAGTAACTATTATTTCTTCTTATCTAACCCTCATTTTCATTATTTCATTTTGTTTTTTCAACAATTTTCATATTTAATTGAGTCCTCGCAAAAAAAAAGTTGAACAGAGCTCCCTTAATGTCAGCGCTTTTCATTATTTTTGAATGCAACCGCTCTCTCCATCTTTACAATCATCAAATAACTTCTGTGGCCGTTTCACATCATTTTCTCTGTGATGCTAGAATATGCATTTGATGTGAGTACTGATCAATGCAAAATATAGTTTTAGCGTTCTGTTTGAAAAGTTTTTGAAAAGATGATTAAATGGCTACCTGATGACCTCTTCTCTTCCGCCGACCACTTCAAGATCATCATTTATCTTATTCTTGTTCACATACAGCTCATTGAAACTTGATTTTCTGATTTTAGTACCTGCACTCATAAATGTCATGCTCTTCGTAATACTCTTCTCAGAGATAAAACTGTTTTCGTTCGTTCGAACCATTGACGAATATATTCCAAAGCATCAATGCTTACATGCCTATATTCAAGTTTCTATCAGCATATAAGATGTCAGCTAAATGGAATTGTTTCGCTCAATCGATAGGTTGTGTTAAATATGAAAACCCAATCAGAACATGCCTAAGCTCGCATAAACAAAATGACTAAATCTTTTCGAATATTTCTCTGTATCAACATAAAAGCAATCGTGCGAGCAGTCCCATCATTACGCCAACAAAGATAGCTTCTTCAGTGCTCACAGCTTGTAGGTTGATATCGTTTAGATTCAACTTTCTTCACATTTAGTTCAGCATACTTTCATTCAACTATTTATGATTTGCAAATGTCTTCAATACGCTCTATGACATCATTGTTTCACCCTTCAATGCTTCTATTTGCAGTTTTTTGGTTTTTCTATTTCTTCCTCATCTTCATGCCCTTTTTCATCTGTGCTATTCTTAAATGAGAACTTTCTTATAACAATATGCAATATAAGAATATAAGCTGAAGGGCGTTTCGATAGTTGCTTGGATGAGATAGGTTTTGGTTTCTTACACTATGTACCAATATTTTGAGGTCGCAGAGCATCTAGTTGTTAGATAGCGCACCAAGGGGGAAATGCAAAGATGATAAACTGAAGAGTTGTTGAAATAGCATCATAAAATAGAGATTATAGAGTTAGTAAGAGTTTCCTGTTCAATCGAATTGGCCCTGCTGCTTACGGCACAGCCAGCTGACACAAGTATTTGATTTGACCTAACTGATTTGCATCACAGGCATTCTCTATATTCGTGCTTTAACTGTCTCACAACTTTCACATTTACACCATTATGCTTTTCTCTATCTGAAGTGAAGCATCTGCCCTTAACATCGTTGAACTCATCTACGATTTTCTGATTTCAAATGCTCTGACCGTAATGGCTTCATCTCTCTCTCTCACTCTCTTCATCGCAACATATTTCCAACTCCAATTGTTGTTTTCAGTAACTTTCATTTCTCCTGGGAATTGAGTGAATATTTACAACTTTCATTTTTGAGACATTAAAACTCTTTTTTTTATGTGTTAATCTATTTTGGAGAAACAGTTTCTATTTCAAACTTGTGAGATCCGTGGAAGCTGTCCCCTCCCTCCCTCTCTCTCTCTCTTACCTTTGTTCCCTTTCTAGATATTCAAAATGAAGATGAAAGTCTTTGTATGCGATGTTCGTTTAGAAAAATGTCTTGGGAAAGCAATTTTCTAATAAAGATCATCACAAATACTTGTTATCGTCGCCATCAAACTATTCATTCGGCGCCATCCTCAGCTAAAGACATTAAGTGTTGTAGAGTCTTGTTGAGTTTCCCGTTTTGAAGGCATTCGGATAACACCGTTAGGTTATCCTTTCAGTTTTTCACAGCTGATGAAGTTTCATGATTAATGTTATTGTCTTTTGAAAGCTTTTCGGCTGTGGATGATGATGTTCTTCATCATCTTCTGAGTTTTCACATATTTGATGCGAAACAAACCCTAAGCACTTAGCTAGAAGAACACAAAAACATAATAAGTGTCTCTTCTCTATTTGTGCGGTCAAATCCAACCTTCAAAATGCTGAAAAGCTAGTCCTGTCAAATTTTTCTCGCTCATTCCAATTCTTCACTCGTGATGAAAACTTTCTCCTTTTTTTTGTTCTTCATAACACACACTACTTGATCTTTCGGCTAATTAGCATATTCGATGCTTTGTTGTTGCGTGAACGCCACGTAGCATATTCAAATTCATTTTTGTCGTCAAATGCGTTCCGAACGGTTTAAACTGTTTTTAATATTATACTTATGCTCGTTTTTTTATATTATTTCCTGATTTTCTCTCTCTCTCTCCATGTAATTCATGCGTGAATTCCAAAAAAGGACATAACGACGTTTGTCGGAACCCTTCCCGGTCAATTGCTTGCAGAGCTTTTGCAATCCGGTCGGACAGTTGCGCCTTGAGTTTCCGGTTTGTTCAGTTTGTGCAATAATTTTTTTTTCTGATTCTGATTCTACACATTGCCTTCGTCTTGCTGTAATATAGAATCTTCATATAAGCAATCTCGTCCAAGTTGCAGAAGACTATTCCTCCATATGGCGCTATACTCTTGTTTCATTTTAATATTGATAGGACGTTCTTTAATTATATAATTGAATGGCGGTATTTCGTTGTATCATAAGCCAATTGTCATGTGGCCCATATATGTATGTTGTTATTTACAACTATCGAAATCTTTTACAGTCTTAGCGGATATGTACATAGAGAGAGGTTGATTGTAAGAGCCGATTTAGGCTAACAGTTGATTGTCGTCGCTTTGGATATTGAATGTGCCTTGATTGATTAGAAATCTTCTTTCTATGCTCAAAGCTCTTGTCATATAGTTGACCAATATATAATTTGCTTCTGTAGTTTCAAGTTGTCATTTGCTTCTATTGCAGATACTTGTTTTGCTTATGCTCTGCAGACGTTGAACACACAGACAGTTTTATTGCGACTCTTGATGAATTTTTGACAAGATGGAGCATGGACGGCTTGCGATTGCGGGCTTTGTATCTCAGTCTCGCTCTCTTCATTTTGATTTTCTATCATAGCACCTGAGCGACAAATTCATCTTCACACTTGACGTTCGTTGATCAGGCTGGACCGAAATGCGCTCTTGCTGTTTTCTGATTGTCAACATCTCTTTCAACGGATTGTTTGTAGCTAATGATGGCCGTTTGATGGGGCATTTCGATCTTGAACGTCATCTGATTTTTTCTGTCAATTGTCCGTCTGAACAAACCGCTAACATGGGATTCCCTTCTTTCATAGTTATATTACCCTTTCAAACACAATGTGTTAACCAATTCTTATTGGGACACATGGTTTCTCAAAACTTTTCGTCATCATCCATTTCCAAAAAAAGATTTGTCAAAATCGATAATTGTCTTGCACTCCACACGTTTCAAAGTAAGATTGAGTGAAGGATTGAGTGAGTAAGTGAGTGTATGTTTTGTTTTATCAACTTATGATACGTTCCACACCTATCTCATCTTTATTTCTCTTGCGTCTGCTGTCATAATTTTCATCTGTTAGCATACCGACAACGAGAGATGAAGAAACACGTTTTGCTCTGTCTGTGTGATTTCGTTAATTATCTGGTCATTCTTTATTAATCCTATTTCTCTTTTTGCATTGTTTCTCTATATTAGGACACGCAAAAGCAATCAGAAGCTACTAATCCGGTCCACTTTTAAAGCGTTTCTTTACTTGATAAATTCACTTTTTTTTGTATTTTCCGATTATCAATTTGTAACTGATCATCTCCTAATTAGTATAATTATGCTAATTTATATATTCCTTATAAAGAACACTAATAGTACATCCACTGTACCTGTAGGTATAGGTAGAACGAGTAAGAAACGTATTGACCTTGCTCTCTCACCTCATTGTAGTCTGCTGCATGCCATTTTCGAAAAGTTAAAATGATGCGAAACAATTTCATTTTTTATTATTGTTTTTCTTATCTTTTATTTCTTTTTGTTGATTTATTATTATTATTATTATTATATCATCATTATTGGATTATAATAGTAACCTAATGCGCTATGACGATGAATGAAAGAGAAAATAAGGGAAATTAGATAAGGAGGGAGAAGGATGGTGTGGGTGGTGGTGGATTGGCGAGAAAGAAAGATATCTGATATGGGTGTATGTAGGTAGAATGAAGTGTGATAGCTGATATTATACGAATAGTATGTTGACCACTAGAATTAACTTTACATTATGCTTAACTTGAGCTTTTGTTATATCTCTTCTTATCTTCTTCTTCTTCGTCCTTCTTCTTCTTATATATTCACCTTGCCATCTTAGACAGCTGTTTGCATATAATTTGACTCCTTTGTTGTTGGCAACATCTTACGTTGTAACCTATGGCATTGTTTTTATATTCATTTTTTCCTTCTTTTTTTTTCTTGGATTCTTCATTATCTGAAATTGACAGTGGCTTAAGCTATGTTCAATCATTTCGTAATGTTGAGCTTCTTGGATGATGCAGGTTGCAAAGCCTTGATAGTTCCATGTTGTATTCTTTGGACCTCACTGTTATGATCCATTGCATCTTGTCATTCCTCTATACATCTCAGCCAACATTTCTTTATTTCAGCTGCGTCATCTCGATTAGTCATTACAAAACTTTTCTCATCGTTTTCGTTGTTTTTCTTCAAATGTGTACCTTCATATTGAATATATCTGTGTAAGCCTTGGTTTTTTGCTGTCAGTCAGTCCTTGTTCGGGTCATTTAATAGGATTCTTCATGCTGGTTTTCCTACATGCATTCAATAAGTTTGGTTAAGCAATCCATAGCCTTATTTGCGATGAACTCGAATTCATTAAAATCATTTTCGTTAGCATTAGAGGAGTCTAAACGTTGTTACAAACATGGAATTGACCGTTTATCTTAACTTCGTCTTCCTCCCCTTCCTCCTCTATGTACTTCCATGTCCTCACTCATCTTACCCTCTTCGTCACTCCTCTTCTTTCTCTCTCACTCTTCATCTGTTTTTAAAGAATTTGAATGTCGTACTACTGGCTCTGTACGATGCTCTTTTGCATTTTATTAATTCTTAATCAACATTTTTCTATTTTCTTTACATACGTAAACACATTTCTCACCCCTAAAAAAGGTGAATTTCTCTTTTTACATCTTCTCTCTCTCTCTCTCCCTCCCTCTCTCTCTCTCTCTCTCTCTATCTTTCTCTCTCTACATCTCTTGTCAGTGCGAGTGGCCGTGACGGCAATGCGACTTTACCTAATTTATGCGATGTTTGTTTTTGGAAATATTCCCTCTCTATTAGGTAACAGGAAAAAAACTTTTAATCAGCTTTCGTGTCCTATTTTTACTTTTTTAGTTGCGTAATTCGTCTCCAGCATTCTCTGATAACTTTTCCTGCTTTCGTTTCTCTTTTTGTTGTTCGTCTGACCAACTTGTATTTCAAGTCACTTCCTCTACTACTACCCTTGATTGTTCTCTTGATAGCCACGAATTAACCATCAATGTTCTTTATCTTCCACTCTCTCTTTATCTTTCTCTTTCATTAATGCTTCTATGAACACATCCGCATAACATCTTATATTGTCATTTGGTGAAACTTCCTGAAATCATTTTTGTATTCAATCTCATCTCATCCAACTATCATCAGATGAGCTGTCTTCTCTCTCCCTCTCTCCCTCTCTTTCTGTCTTATTCTTAGATACCACCTACCTAATATGGTAATTTTTGTATTTTCATTCGTCGAATAGAATTCATTTCATTTGATCATTTCAATTCTTTTCAATGATTTTTGATTAGCTTTGGTGAAGAAGAGATGGCGTCACTCTCTATCATTATCATTGTGACAACGATGTGCTAACATCCTGTCCTTTTAATGACCGTTCGTCATTAAATTCGTTTTTCCTTTAATATTAGTTAAGAGATTTATATGAAATGCTTTTCCAAACATTGTCACACTTCGCGCCTTGAATGATTAGCAAAAAGCTTAGAAAATTATAAAAAATGACAGTTTGTTTGATTATTGTCAGTGCCTTTCCGGTCTAGACTCTGGACTCTCTATCTGCATCTATCCCTTTATCTCATTCTCTACAGAGTTCTCTTCTTTCTTTTTTTTTCTTTTTGTGATCTTAGTTCCAGTTACATTCTTTAAGCTTCAATGATACAGTGGTTGAAGCTATGTTACTCCATATTGCCCCGATTTCCTGTCTGCCTTCAAGGCCGAACTCCATATCTTGGAGAGATCTCAGCATGTGTCTTATCACCTTGGCAATTCCTCTTCTTTTTGTGATTAAGCCATAAATTATTTAACATAAATTGATTCTCCACTACCTCATCAGTCTATCATCGTAAATGAGAATTTGCTGAAAAGTGAGCCTTCTCCATCTGTCATGTTATCATTCCATGTTACAACTCTTCGAAGCATTCGAAATGAATTCTTCTAATGGCTCTTGTTGGAAGTATAATGCTAATGATCTTACATCCATTCAATTACATATATAATTTAAAGTTTTTTTTTCTCGATTGAATTATTTAAATGGTCATTTCATACTATCGAAGTAGTAGAGAATAAGCTTTGATAGAGAGAGGAAGACAGAGAGAGAGAGAAAGATGAGATGAAACTCGAGGTTCTCTGATACCGTTCTCATCTTCTCGAAAAGACTTACACTCTGCTGGTTGTACTTCATGATAATTCTTTTATACTTTTCTCTTTTTACTTAGTAACAATTACAACTTGACAATCATACTTTCAACCTTTTCAATTTCCATTTGTTCAATGGGGTTTTGTGTCAGTCTAGGCATCCTGGAATATGTGTTTGCCTTGCAATAAGGTGTGGCTACAGTATTCCAAAAATTTCAATTCATTTCATAATTCCATTTTTCATTGTCACACCATCTTGTACAACAATGTACGAATCTATAACTTTAGAAGTGAAGTATCTCTAACTGATGTGAATACGTTCTGCTTCATAGCTTCCTGAGTTGTCGGAAGTAAACCAACTTATCCGTTTCAACTTCATTCAGTACGTGTTGTTAATGAAATGGAACATCAGTTATAGTTAATGCTTCTTTTGAATATTTTTCTGCTTCCTACTTGAACTCAGTTGAATCCTTTTATTCGAATTGCTGATTGCATCATGTCTATCTAGGCTCGGCCTGAGTCTGCCCTAATTCAAAGCAACTATGCTGTCTGTTTCGCTAAGAAAAAAAAACGTTTTGTATACGAGATCGTCAGTGACGTCTTCAGCCTCTTGCGTCAAATTGTTTTTTTATGTTTAATTTCAAGATTCGCTGGGGTGTTTCTTCTATTCATGGGGGGAAATCTTTATCACGCTTCCTTATTCTGTTTAACTGGTGCTAATCCTATCTAACTGGTAGCTTCCTTCTATTTCCTTTTGAAATTGAAACAGATTGCGGTATTCTCATTAGCTTCTTTGATACATTCAGAGAGGTTACTGACTGTTGCAATGAAATGTGCTCAATGCGATAAAGGATGTGTGATTCTTCTTCTAGGTATATGCATGTGCATGCTTCATCTAATGTCTGATGTTGATATGTGAATGAAGCTGAGGCTCTTCGTTTTCTTGACATTGTTCTTCTTTTGAATGTCTTTAAATGCCAATCTTTTTCTTTTATTTCACATTTACAAGGCCACAAATGTCATGTCGGTGATCTTGAATGCAGATAGTCACTGTCATCTGAATTCTGTCAATATACATACCTGGCTTGATGTATACGTTAATTTATGAGAAAATTGTCTTTTATTGTTTTTAAATTATCCTTTTAACACATTTCTATATTATCATTGTAATTGTCGTGTATTTCCAGTGAGCCTCTTTCATTAACAAAGTCGTCGCCGCCGTCTTCCGACGAAATGTCGTCGACGAGCAGTGTTTGCTCCTCTAACGATGCAGATTTCATTATCGATAGCCGGGTATGAGTTATAATAAACTTTTTGTCAAACTCTATCTATCTTTCAGATTCCCTCTGCTATGAGACGTGATGTTGAACGTTTTTCTGTATTTGTAGGAAGGCTTCGAGCAGCTTTGGATGTTAATACAACTGTCCCAGGTAAGATTACATCTGACAAACCATTGTGATGCTTTCTCAACAATTCCATATTTGAATGCTACTTGTGAAGCATATCGAAATGAGAATTTATTTTATAATTATGATATTCTCAGAAATATTGTTTGAATAACGAAAAACGGATGAAACTTATTGTTTTTTTCAGATGGCGAGTCTATGTGCGTTTCCGTTCATGCTGCTCTAGAAATGGTCTCTGAATCAATGAGAGATCTTTTCAAATATTCTCAGTTCAAGACGAATCAAGTTATACTACCAAGCTTACAACTAGTTCAGTCTGTTAAAGGTACATTTTCATTTTGCTTTCACTCTTCCTTCACTTGTCATCCCTCCCCTTGCTTTCTCTCTCTCTCATGTTTTCTGGATATCCAAGATATTTAAAAAAGATGCTTATTATATTGTTTCCTCGCTTTATGAATTGTTTGTTGCCATTTCAAAACTTTCATTTTTCAACAAGGCGAGACTCGTGGGACAACGGAAACATCTTGTACATGTTTAGTCTTGCCAATTCAATTTTGCTGTTTTTGAAAATTTTTCTTTTCTTAGATTTTCATATAAATCTCAGAGCCGTCAATCTCATTTTTTGGCACTTATCCACGTGTCAAGAGTATCCTAAGATGGCTCACCATGAGAGATATATGCTTCTTCCAGTGAGCATATACCAAAACTCTTCTCGCAACATAGCCTCACCGAGAACGAAACCCACACATGCCATCCACCACCATCACCACTACCACCACCCTCTCTTTCAACCACGTTTGAAAACTTCCGATATTGGAAATTCTTGTTTTTGAACTTGAAATATTCCTTTAGCGTTGATTTAATATAAATTTATTCAAATATTCAATGGAATAGAAATTCATTCGCTTGTTTTGAATTATGAGCTCAAACTATTCCGGAAATTCTTTTCATTCTAATATACTCAAGTAGTAAAATGAAAATGCGCTATGCTTACATGCTAATTTTTCACGTGACTTCCACGTAGAATTCAATTTCCACGTATAAAGTCAAATTCTCGGTTGTACATGGCTGTTTTCATTTTCATCTTCAGTAGTCGTCGTGGTGCGGTCGTTCTCTTTTCTCTTTCATCCTTTATTTGAATTAGTTTGGATAATGTTTTTTTTTTCTTACAGACTTGAAGTTTGATAGCTCGCTTGTTGATACAACCCACGTTCATCAGATAATTGACCAACTGGAATCAGCTGTACTCAATACTATCATGTACGTTTGTTATTGTTTTCATTTTCATTAGCTTTATTTGGCAAGTGATGTTAGTTTAATCGTATTATGCTTTTCTTGATTTGAAAGTCATTTGTGTGCGGAAATGCTTGTATGTATTTGATGGCAGTTAGTTCACTTCTAGTGCATGATGACTATAGAGAGAAGTGGGATGGATGGAAAAGGGTAGTGAAGATGAGATGGGTGGGATGTGGCTGGATGAGGGGGAGATAGATAGATTGAAAGATGAAAATAATAACATGGGATGGCCCTATTTATTGAAGTTGCCATATTTATTTGGAAGCTTTTCATTGTGTTGAGCATTGATTCAAGCCTATTGCCAGATAGAGGGAGAGAGGGAGAGAGAGGATAAGAGAGAAAGAATAGAACCAAACTTCCTATGCTAAAATATGATAATAAGATTGGCAGATACAAGCTTTTCAATATTTGAAGACATTTGACTTTTGGTTTTTTGTGAAATGCACGAGAAGAGTCTAATGCAACGAAGGATCCATCAATGATGCTTCACATCTATTCATTTGTGTACATTTGACTAATAACTCACATCATTGTTGCTATTAATGACGTCAATCTATCTCAAATGTTAGCTGCGTGTCTTTAATTTTAAATTTGATTTTCTCCTCTTTTCTTTTTTGTCTTTGCTTTCCTAATTGTCCTCCGATACATCCAGAACAACGTTGTTGCTAGTGCCTTGTGAGACGATTAGCATAGCATAGTTGTCGTCTGAGGGCATGTCTGTCTGATTGTCTGTCGGTGTGTGTAAGTGACGGTTCTATCCTTGTTGCTTAGTTGATTATGAAATAGACTATGATTCGAGTAATAGCTTGTCTTGCATACGCTTCGAAGTTCCGGAGAGAATAGCAAGAATCTGTTACGCAAATGGGCGAGGTGATTATTTCGTGAAGATTACTAGGCATTAGGAATGATTGGTTAAATGATAAGAGAAATAACTTTTGATGACAACCTAATGAGTTCACCTTGTTGAACCATGTTAGAACATCAAATACCTATTATCTATGTGAGTGGGTGAGTTGCAAGAAGACATTTGTTAACCTTAATATGTATGTATGTACTTGTCTCCTGAATCTATGTTCTACAATGAGTGTTGTCTTCTAGTTGAGTGACTACTGACAGACTTATCAACAGATGATCATGCCATACTTGTATCTATTTCATCAACCTATTCATCTATCAGCATTATATATTTTAATTTTGGCGTATTTACAGAAATCGACACGTGATATCTCCGCAATCGACGCGATTTTCAACTGTTGGAAGAAGACAAAAACAGGTTCATATTCCTTTTTCTTCATTGTTCTCTTTTTTGACGACGAGGGCTAACGAGAGTCAAAAATTGATGTCTCGCGCGGGTAGGGTAGAGGGGTAACACATCTGATGATAATCATTCCGTTACGCTCATCAGAAGATTATGATTGATATCATTCAATAATGTATCCAATTAAGTTAAAAGTGTAAAATAGTCATGAGGAGAGGAAGAGGGGGGGGGGGGGGGGGGGGGTTTAATGTACACATTCGGGAGG